TTTACCTGCGGCCTTAGTACTTGATTCACCAGCTATAGAAGTGTTGACCAGTTAGATAAAAGGTTAGGCAGCAGTTGTGTCTGTCAGACTTTCTCTCCTCCATCCTCCAGGGTATCACCTTTACAGCTTCCTCTGTTGGGTGTTTATGGGAATGGAGGTTGGTTTGATCTGGTTCCTTGTCTTGGAAAATGACCCATCAGCCTTAGGCCCACAGGGTGACAGTCACCCAGGGGTCTGGTTAACGGGCTGCTTCTCTCCACCTCGTGGGGAGGCTCGATGTCAGACGTGCTGGTGCCGGTTTAGAAGCCCTGGGTTTTCTGGAAGTTGCAGGGCAGTTTGTGCTCCTGTCTGCAGTCTGAGCTGCGCTCTAGCCCCAGCCACTGCCCTGCCCATTCTGTGTCCACCCCACTCTCAGGGCCCTGGTAGGTCGTGAATGGGTGGGCAGAGACATTGAGCAGCTGTCGATGCCTCTTCTTTCCTCTTTGAAGGATCTGACGCTGCTGCCGATGAGGGCTACTTCATCTATTAAACCCAATACACTTGTCGCAGCTGCTAAGCCCCCGTAAGCCGCCGGGCGCCGTGTTTGTGATGGGACTGACAGTGCATGGAGGAGGCTGATTATACACGATTCCATTTCGCGGGCCCAGCAATGTAATTTCACAGGGCGATCAGCGTTTGCATGTAATAGCAGGCTGTGCTGAGGTGTCAGAATATTAAAGGCGCTAATGGCAAAGCTCCCTGTTACACAGGGGGCCACCCGCCGCGCCTACAGCAGGGCTGTGCGGCAGGCCCGTCGCAGATGGCTGGCCACTAAGCTAATGGGGCAGCAGCCAAGGCAGGCAGAGGCGCGAGAGGGGAGAGCCAGCCGAGAGCAGCTCGGCACCTGCTTCCCCGCGCATGGAAATTACAGCAGCCCAGGGGAAGGGAAGTGTGCGTGCCTGCCTGGCACAGGGCCGGGATGGCGCAGTTTGGTAGAGCGGCATCTCTCACCCCAACTCCACCTGCCCTGGATAGGACTCGGGCTCCGCAGCCATTCTTCCTTCTGCCCCACCCTCTGGCCAGGAACCCATCAGGTGGGCCCTGACGGCTGGGAGGAGTACAGCTAGAAAAGTGGCACCCAGAGAGTTTAGAACCAGCATGGGACAGGGGCCCGGGCGCAGGCTCTTGGCAAGAGCTCTTCTAACAGATTCCTGCCCTGCACTGATCAAGGTCAGAAAGCTTCTGGGTCCCTTACCCCGACACCCCACAGGCTGGCAGGAGAGAGGGAGAAGAGATAGGAAGCAGGCTGGAAAAGGGGGTAGATGGTAATGAACGCCCCTCGATTGATACCAGTTTGCACAGAGAGGCAGCACCTCAAGATATGGCTCCTTCTTTCTGTCCATGTTGGCTGCCGCAGCTACACCCAAGCCCTTGCCTGCACACTCACCAAGCTCACTCCTGCCACTCTCCTTCGCCCTTGCTGTGTTCTTCTGCCTGGTGCCCTCCAATGCCATTCCCTTCAGGAAGCTTTCCTAGCCACCTCCAACCCCACATGGGCCTATTTGTTTCAACTGTCTCTGTGAGCAACCCACAGGGGACAGACACCCTCCCTGCATCCTCCCGCTCAGATGGTTCCCTGGGTCCCGGCCTTGACTTCTCAGCCAGAATCTGAGACATAGCCCATATCACCTTGCCCTGAGCTGGACTCCTGGGAAGGCTCTGCTAAGAAGCATGGATGGATGGAATCTCTTAGGGAGGACGTCTGGAGGAAGTGGAGAATGGAAGGAAGGGCACGCCTGTGTGGGCGTGTATATATCTGGGGGGAGAAGAGGAGCTTTAGAAGTGAGAGCTGGGGGTGGTGGGCATGTGGGTACAGGTGCAGAGGGCAGCAGATGTAAGGATCAGACCACACATCGGTAGGAGCACAGGTTGTTCTAGATCTCTGTGTTCTCTGGGTGGCTCTCTGTGTCTACTAGCTGTGCCCAGCATACCCACGGTGGCAGGAATTGAAGGGAGCTTGAGGTGCTGGGCCCTGGTACTATGCCAAGGGTGTTTCTGTGAGGCTGGTGGTCACATGTGAAGGTGCAGGTCTGCAGGGGTGTGTGACAGTACCAGGGAGAGACATGCCAGGGTTCTTAGCAGAGGCAGCAGGGGGAGAGCCCAAGCTGAAGGAGAGCAGTTTTAATTAACCGTTTTTAATATCATTTTGGACTTTGGCTGGTATGTGAAGGCCCCGCTGGAAGCAGCATTTGTAAAAATTAAATCCCTCTTATTAGGAGCTTGGCAGACCCATGTGCACGTGCCACCCCCCTCCACCCGCCCCCA